CCAGAGGGATCCACGACGGCACAAGAGGCGCGCAAGACGGCCCCAAGAGGGGCTCCAGAGAGGGGCCACGAACCGAAAATTCGAGCGTTGCGCCTCAACGGACCACCAAAAAGCCCCAAGAGGCCCCCAACAAGCTCTTGAGAAGCCCCACGAAGCGCCCAAGAGGGCCCAAGAGGCTCCAAAAGGCTCCCGAGAGGCCCAAATGAGGTCCCAAGAGGCCCCCATGAGGCTTCAAAGCTGAGTCCAAGACGCTTCCGAGAGGCCAATCAAGAGACCCCCAACGAACGTCCCTGAGGTTCTCGCCCAAGACCCAGGCACGGCGGCGGGTTGGGCCGAAGGCCTTGCCATTTTTCCAGGCGCTCTAGAGGTCGTGTCGCGTCAGTCCACTGTCTGTGCGCGCAGTGCAATGGGCTCTCCAGCGACACTGCTCATAAGCAGCACTACAGAATCATTGGTGTCTTTGCGGGAAGATTTGCGGATTTCTGGTAATGAGCGACGCAGCCATATGCGCTATCGAGCACGCTCAGCAACGCCACCTCTTGGTAACATCAGGCTCTAAGCACCGACGTCACGTTCGCGCGGATGTGTTTGTAGCTGTCGCAGGTGGGCTCTGACGTCCATGGGCACATGACGGCACATGTTTTCGCCTTCTTGGAACCCGAAGTCATTGGTTCTAGCGATACCGTGACCGTATGCTAAATTGGCTTTGTCTACGTTTACATGGAGCCTTCTCGACGCCAATTGTTCCAACGACTCGCGTTCATCTTGGGAAAGCGAATCCCATGTCCTTCTCTTGTTGTCCGTCTACCCCGTGTGGGTCTCCAGGCGCGCGAGATGTCTCTCCCCCAGAAGCCCGCCCTCCCCGCCCCCTCCTGGGACCCCAAACCGGCATTTCGACCTCCCCCCCCCGGGCTCCGGGTGGCCCGAGCCCGAGCTCCCCCGGGGGAGTCAGGGTTCCCTGGGCTCGCCCTTGAGCTTCAAAACAGCCCGTCAGCCCTCCCAAGATACCCCCAAGAGCGTCCAAGAGGCCTCCCAAACGCGCCAAGATGCCGCCCACACGCCCGAAGAGGCCTCGAAGAGGCTCCCGGAGGCCTCCAAGACGGCCCAAGAGACCTGGAAGACGCCCCGAGAGACCTCCAAGAGGCCTCCGAAGAGGGCCCCATGAGGCCAAACTCATAAATGCTCATTTGTATTTTTTTGCACTGTTTTTGGCATTGTCGCTTCGGCTTCGCGACGCTCCAAGACCGCCCAAGAGGCCCCCAAGACTGTTCCAAGACGGCCCAGAGGCCCCCACGACGCCCCCAAGACGGCCCAAGAGGGCCCCCAGACGGCCCAAGAACCGTCCAAGACGGCCCAAGAGGCCGTCGAGACGGGCCCAAAAGGGGACCCAGAGAGGGACGACGAACCGAAAAACCAAGCCTTCCGCCACAAGAGGCCTCCAGGAGGTCCCAAGAGGGCCCAAAGGGGCCCAAAGAATCCTCCAACAGGCCCCCGAGACGCCCCAAACGGCCCCCAATAATCCCAAAAGAAGCCCCAAGAGGCCCCACAACGGCCCCCAAGAAGCAAACATCGTTGATTGTCACTGTTTGTTGTTCTGTTTTGTTTGTTTCTGCTTCGCGTCTATGCTGGCTTCCGACGCCGAGCCTGTCCGGGCCCCGGGTGGCAATCCGCCGAACTCTTCCGGGGGGGTCTGGGCTCCCTGGGCTCGGTCTTGAGCTGCAGGACAGCCCGTTCGCCCTCCCAAGACCCACCCCCCCAGGACGGTCCAAGAGGCCTCCAAGACGCCCCAAAAGGCCGCCTAGACGCCGCAAGAAGCCTGAAAGAGGCCCCAAGAGAGCTCCAAGACGGCCCAAGAGACCTCCAAGACGCCCCAAGAGACTTCCAAGAGGTCTCCACAGAGGGCGCCAGGAGGCCAACATCAATGGGCCGGCGGATGTGGCGGAAGCCTGTAGGACCGAGTTGTCTATGCAAACTCTGTGTGTGTCTCAAGGTATTGCGCGCCTTCTTGGCCCTCCAACGAAGAATTTGGACTGGTTCTGGAACGCCGCCATCGGTATTCACACGTTCTGAAACTCCGCGCATGTATTCGTCGTCGGCCTTGCGCTGCTTCGCCTCGCTCTGCTGGTCGAGCTCTTGTTTCAAGCGCAAGAGGACAGCCGGATCATCGCATCCGTATGTAGCGGATGATCGCCCTGGCGACATGGCGGCTGCCGATATACTTGTGGAGCCACGCCTCGAACCAAGACCTTGCCTTCTTGTTGAAGGCCGACGGAACTAGGGTCCTTCTCAGAGCTTCTTGATCTGGCGTTAAGGCGATCCTAGCAATCCACTGCGTTCTCCATCTCGCGTAAGCTTGCTCGAACTCTGCGTCAGAGAACTCGCGTCTACCAGGCTCTTGAGCGCCAGCAGAGTCAGCCCATGCATCTGGGTTCGCAACCCCCTGCATTGCATTGAATTGAGCTTGGCGCGCCCGCAGCAATGTCTCGAATACTTCTGCCACGGCATCGGCCGTTGGCACGGTCGCAGCCTCGAGCGCGATCTGTTCGTCGACAAATACGCATTGTTGGGGGGCGCGCATGGGCCACAGAGTTCGCGCCAGGACGGCGCGCATATCGTCAGCCTGCTTCTCCACGTCATGGCTGCGACAATCTCTCCAGCAGTGGCAGTGACTTCGGCACAGGGATTTAACCTGGAAGAAGCCCTGGGCGAAACGCGACCGAGATTCATTCGTCTCGGTCACGTTTCGCCCGAGACTTCTGGGCCCCCCCCCCAAAAAATCTCTCCAGCAGGCATCGCCATCTTCCTCCCAGACCCCCGACGTAATGATTTTTTCATTACGTCGACCCCCAGAGGTCTGGACCCTTTCCCCATGACCGGCTTTGCATCCTGAGTTGTTTTTTGACGCTCCCGAGGCCCGGTGAGGGCCCCCGGAGGCCGAAAATTAGGAAAAACATCCCGTCATGATTTTTTCATTACTCGAGGGGGTCTGGGCTCGCCGTATTCGCGAAGAAACTCGCTTCCGTTGCAGCACATGCCGCCCCCGGGCTCTGCGCTTCTCCGGCGGCCGATCGCCGAGGCCGCCTTGGTTTTCGTGTCGGCGCCGGGCGCTGTGCCACCGCGCCCCATCTCCGCGTCCTCCGTAGATCTGCGGGGCTCCCCAGACCCCCTCGAGGAATGAAAAAATCACGACGGGATGTTTTTCCTAATTTTCGGCCTCCGGGGGCCCTCGCCGGGCCTCGGGAGCGTCAAAAAACGACTCAGGATGCAAGGCCGGTCATGGGGAAAGGGTCCAGACCTCTGGGGGCCGACGTAATGAAAAAATCATTACGTCGGGGGTCTGGGTCTGAGGCATCGGCAGATCCGTTGCTCTCTGTAGCCCCTGGGGCACCAGCGGTGCGGCCTGCGGTGCCGCCAGGGAGGTCTCTGCTATGACTGCAGCCACGTTGTGCGCATCGGAGATACCGTCGAAACCTCGTCCGATCTCGGAAGGTGTTTGGTTTGAAACGCTTCCAAGTGCCGGGCCATGGCCAAGTCTCCGCGGCGCAATTGGCGCGAAGCCAGAATCCACAAAGTGGATCTTCTCGTCTTTCGTTTCATCGCGCTGGTACTTCTTCATTTCATTTTGGAGGTAGGCTGCGCCGAGATTCAAATCACCGCCCAAGATCCAACGGACAGGTTCTGTAACACCGTCGCTGTGATCTTTGTGCCTGAGGCCTGCGGCTTATACATATAACGGCGCACCGGGTCCGGGGGCCCGGGGCCGGGACCCCGACCACAAATGTGGGCCCCGGGGGGCCCGGAGGCTCGTCGGACCGCCGGACGCCGTCCAAGATCGTTCGCAGGCGGCTTCGGAACGCGCTCCGATGGCTCCAGATGCCTTCCAAGACGCCAGTCATGACACCAAGAAGGTCCCAGAAGCCTCCAAGACGCTCCGAGAGGCAGCCCAAGAGAGGCCCAAGAAGCAAAAATCGTGTCATTCCTATGGGAAAACGTATATTTTTCGCATGTTCGCCTCTTGGGCTTTCACCGCGTCCAAGACGGCCCAAGAGGCGCCCAAGACCGCCCCAAGACGGCCCAAGAAGCTTCCAAGAGGGCCCCAGGACAGCCCAAGAGGGCCCCAAGACGGCCCAAGAGGCGCCCAAGATGGCCCAAGAGGGCCCCAAGACGGGCCCAAGAGGGGGCCCAGAGGGGGACCACGAACCGCAAGCTCGAGCCTTCCGCCCCAAGAGGCCGCCAGGAGGCCCCAAGGAGGCCCCTCAAGAGGCCCCAGGAGACCCCCAAGAGGCCCAAAGGAGGCCCCGAGAAGCCCCAAATCGGCACCCAAAAGGCTTCGAACCTGCTTCCAGGAGGCCCCCGACAGGTTCAGAGGCTCCCGAGAAGCTACGTCAAACTCCCAGCGAGCGGCCAGACGAGGCCCCCCACAAAATCACAAGAGGGTTCCAATATTTGTATCCTTCAGCGCTCTCTGGCCTTCTTCCCCCTGCCCCCTTTCCTGCGACTTTCGTTGACTCAGGCTCGCCTCCTAGCTAGAACCTAAGCGCGCGCGAAGCGCGCGCGTGGTTCTAGTCAAATATATTTGGCAACGTGGCCTCTCTTGCATTGATGTCCCACGGGCGCTTCTTGGAACAAGGGCAATGGCAAACTGTTGTTTGGATTGGCGCGCATTGCCATGTGCATTTCAACGTGACCATTGTGCGATCGGGACGTACCGCGCGCGTTGTCTTGCGCCCAGGCCGCGATGAAAAATCCGCCGGCCCCATTGCGGGGCCATTGGGCTGTAGGACGAGGTTTGCTTCCCCTGCGCCGGTTCCAGTTTCGAGTCTCCAAAGTGGCAGTCCTGCTTTCTGCGTCGCACTGCAAGCGGCCCCTGCCCATAGACATTGGTTGCCGTTGCCGCACGAGCCAGGCGTTCTGCAGGCCCCATTCTCCGAGAGAGGGGGCCGGCGGCAGGGGGCGAAGCCCGTGCGGAGAGCGTCGTCGACGATGAGATCGGCGCGGTC